GTCAATACAATGTGAGCGATTATAGTTATAAACATTTTTAGAAACCAGTGCTTTATGGCTGCGTGAATGATTTGCGCGTATTGACTTATGGGTGGCATCTGACATAAACAACGACGGTGCATCATCCGCACAGCGTACGTTTAACTGAGTGTGATGTAATTTTACGTGCTGCCGTATGTAACCGGCTGGCTGGCTGGCTGGCTGGCTGAAAAGAACTTTTCGTCCATCGTCATACCCCAGTGCCTTTGACCCAATACAAATTTGCCTTACAAAATAGGCCAGATAGCGTCCACATGACCATACATGCCCAATGATCATTCTCTCCCTCTAAATTTTCTGCGTTATCTGTAGCCAGTCTTATGCACCCGTTACCTTTACCCTCGTAACAAGTCATGGCAATAGCCGGCTAGCACCAGTGTTGTCATGCTTTCATCCCTGCCTTCTTCATTTCTAGTACTCATTGTTTTGTTACCAGCAGAACGTCCCAAAAACGATCCCTGGTGGTCTGTAGATAGCTTCTGTTGGCCTCGATCCATCGGCTGTCTGCTGCCACGACTGTTGTTATTGATTTAATACGCTGTCTCCAATGTGATATTATTAGAGTTACGTGCCTTCGCGCAGGTTTCAGTTGCTTGTTGTTATTGCTATCATAGCTATATACTGTTGGCTGACATGACGAGTACACAATGTCGCTTAGTATTCGTTTCATTGCTGCAGTAAGTTAAGTGGTTTTTTGTTATGCCTGGCGCGTGTTTTGATAACTTGTTAAACCTCCCTGAAATCGTATTTCTGTCTATTAATATATCATTATTGGCGCTAAGGCTGACGTCGTTACGGCGGCGACCACAAGGGAGATCGCAGCTAACGTACTCTGTACTGACTTGGCTGGTCTTGTTTTTTTTCAAGCGTTATGTTTGCTGCGACCGCATTCCGATTAGGCCTTCTGCTTGTCTAATCGTTACGAACGGTTTCCTTACATCGACAGGGAGTTTTTCTCATAATACAATGGTGATCATGTGACCATACTTGATGTAGTAACGAATAGAAAGTAATAAATTCTAATACCAATCGCTTTGTCTTTTCTCGTATAATATAAAATTTGCTGATAACTCGAAGCACCTGATTAAAACCGTTATATCTTGCGATTAAGATGAATGCCATTTTCAGCCTTACAGATGCCATCCAACTTTACGCAAACGTCGCTTAGAAGTTAAAAATATCTGGATCTTAAAGCACTGCCTCTGTTAACCGATCCATAATGGGCACACAGCTTTTCGCGAATCTGCGTATCGAAACAACAGGTTTTTTCCTTTGTAAGATTTCACATAAATTGACCTGGTCGACCATTGGCGGTAATAGCTATAATATTCTGAAGCATTTTCCACAGGAAAGAAACTAGCAGAACTCACAAATATCAGTAAACGGTTGGTTTCTATTATCCTACTTATCCAATTAGCTGTCATCGAAACAAACCTGTAAAAACCGTAAGCGCGTCTGTCTAAATAATGTGCATGTGGCGTATTACTGTTACAATCGTCATCAAAGTTAACAAAACATGAGAAGAAGCTGTAAAGAAAGAATACTAAACATTTAGCTCCGACAGATGGAAAAAGAGGGCTTTCTCTTCTCGAACAGGGGGTCCCATATTAACTAGCAAGTGACGAGGGGTGGGTTATGAAATGTCGAAAGGTGTATGATGAATATGTAATACCTCAAGATTTGGATATAAAAAATATGTATGCCACAGCGGATGTATATTTCTTATTTCACCGTTTTGGCAAACGCTGAAAAATATGCAGAAGTACTATAGCTAAATTATTACATAGCCAAGAGTGTCATTATAATTACCTTACCAACATATCCTACAATTGAAAATTTCGTCTTTATGACGACGAACCGTCATAGCGAAAGAAAAAAGGGCAGGCCAATTTTCTTTCGTTGTATTTTCATTCATATGCCTAGGTATTACTAATTTTGTCGAAACGAGGAGACATTAAATATACTTATCATCTAAAAACTTACATTAAAAGGCACGAAAGATTTTGCAATTTGATGTATCAAGAATGGCCAGGACTACGAAGATCGACTAAAGATAGTGTAATGTTTCGATTGAGTTGGCGGTGACCGATGAAATTACTTTATTCCATATGGTCCTGTGATCACTACTATCTCTATGACCTTTGGCAAACGTGCATTAATTCTTCTAGCCAGCGGCCATCTGTCTTCTTTTAGTAGTGGAAGGCACCGTGTTCCATGACGACCTTACTAGTGGCACGGTTCCATCCATGCGTCCTTATTATAATCCTTTCAATTAACAGATCGCGACATGTGCCTTATCCATATAGTTCATTCACTAGCAAAAGTCAAAAAGCGCATTGAAGATCGTCTCGTTGCTTGCCTACATGTGCTACACGTCGGTTTTGAGGGAACGATGTTCGTTCGTATACGTTAGACGAGCATTTTTATTACCCCTGTGATGGGGGCACCATAGCGTTCAACGATGCTTTAAGTATTTACCCATAGTTTCTATCTGTAATAAATAAACTCGAAGCTCCTCATGTTAGTAAAGTATAAACTATGTTCAGAGACGATGTTCTAGTAATAATAATAATAATGATCGCTAAATTATCGCTATTAAGTGTGAATATTCGAATGATTGGACATACACTCCATAAATACTGTCCTTGAGCAACCTATTGTTTTTTTTTTTACCTAATTTTTGAAACGCAACTCCTATAAATTTGAGAGCTTTGCAATTTCTTCATGTTCCATTTGTTCCGAACAGCTTCTTGATTATTGTAATTGAATTGATTGCTTTTACTTCAATACAGCTCAATAATTTAGCTTATTACACATCTTCACACAAAAATTACCAGTGCCTGTCACAAATTTACTGGCCGCTAAATGTTAGCCGCTTAACATTGCTACAGGGGAGTAAGTGAACCGCTTTCTTTAAAAACCGTCTGAGTCATTTTAAGAGCTATCCAGAATGGTTTTCATGTAAAAAGCCATCTTATTCTGAGAATACCTTTGTTTTCTTAACATCAGTTGTTACACAAGAAAAATTGTTTCAAGCTATACCCAGTTAGCAGCAACACCTCAGCAAATAAAAGCACAAAAAAAAAAACAGGTTTAACAAAAAAAAAAAACAATCTATTAACATTTCTTGTTGTTTTGATGAGGAAAAGCTGTAGTGGTCCCATGTTACATAAGTAAACCAGTAAGAGACTTTGTGCCCACAAAAAAAAACACGCCTAAGAAATAAAAATTGGGAAAGAAAAAAACAAAGGGATTACGTGAAGCGAGCCCGACGATGGTGCCCGACGGACTAAAGATCATGCTGACATCTTCTAGTTCCGACATGACTGGTGTTTTTCTTTTTTATAAATTGTGACAAGTGGGCAGCAAGCTTCTGAATGTTTCCCATTTCGTCTATATCAAGAGATTCGCTAAAGCTGAGTCGATTAGTTTGTCGGTGACAGTCGTATTGCACGATACAGCGGTTAGTCTACTGGAAAGTTTCAAACTGGTACCTGATAGCCGCGTGTTTCAGGTGGTTCTCAGACGACTCAGAAAGCCCACACGAGCTTCATAGATTATTTTTTGAAGCTCGCATTGATGCGTTATGGACTTTGGATTATACTCTGGATATTTTTAATGGGCTACCTGAAGCTAGGTGGAACTGGTATTAGCAATGGTCCTTTAGTGGCTAACGGATTATTGCTCGAGAGAATTTGGAGGAGGCTCAGTGGTCGACAAAGAGGTTATGGAAGAAGACGTGGAGAATACGCTCATGGTGGATACTGCTGCAGTGCGGGTGGCTACAGGGGAAAGCACGGAAGATATTCGGATGGCGGATATGGGGCTGGTTATCGACGCAAGCATGACAGCAAACATGGCGGTGGCGGTGGACGTCCCGCTGGATACGGACATGGTTACCGGAACACCTACGGTGGAGCAAAAAAAGGAGGATACAAACATAAAGATGGCAGGACAGGCCATGGATATGGTCCCGGTAGAAACTATAGATACCGTCCTGGTTACCGCCGTTACGGCCGCATCTATTACTAGCGACGACAAAGATATAGTTATGGACGAAGTTATAGACAAAGAGGGCACCGCCATAGTCATGTAACTTGTTACTGCAAAAATAGAGCAGAACCTAGAATGGCTAGTAACGAAAATGCCTTGCGCGTAACCGTATCCTACCTCACGGAAAAATGCTCATTGTGTCATCGAGGATCTAACAAAGGAATAAGCGTTAGAAGCGGAGGTTTATGCTGTGAGTGTTCCTTTACGATTCTATTAGATCGAGACAAAGGGTACATGAGAAGACCAGTGTGAGAAATGTTCTACACCTTTTCGATACAATGTAAAAGATACGTCTTATTCATTTTTAAGGACAAATGTGTCTTAGGACACAAGTTTTTGAAGCATATATGCATACTGAAAAGTTCCAAAAATACTCCATTTCGAGTCATCAGACGAAAAAATTGTATGAACATCATCTGCTTCTCGTTCTATTAATGCTTTTTCTTTATGCTACACTGCAGTGTCCTTTGATCTTGCAAACGCGATTTAAAGAACTTACACCAGAAGCTAAGAATTTAATTCAACTTTCGGAATCTAGTACCTACTTTTTGCGTTACAAATAGCACGGTTTATTCGGCGGAAATACTTATTAATTACCAGGAATAAGGGCAAAATAATGGTGAAGAGTTTTTGAAATTGTTCGTATTTTTTAGTACCTCCAGTTCAGATCACTAATTCTTAATCTGGAGTTTAGACGATTTGTCCAATGAATGTCTGTTTTCCTTCTATCGTAGGACACAAGGCGTATGAGTACGTCTGAAACAAAAAATTATGACACTGACGAATGACTGACACCACAACGATAAAAAAAAAAGACAAAGCTCGTGCACAGTACGGATTTACGAAACATTTTCAGGAAAAACAGAACATTTATTATAAGTATTATTATTGTGAGTGCACACATAGTCTTAGCCTAAACCATCTAGGAGCAGGATTACGTGTTTCCAGTAGCCCATCTGCCACTGTAAATCACAATTCGATTGTACAAGGAGACTGTCATTCAGGCTCGTTATTACGTCGCTGTGGGGAAAGCCGCTGTAGATTTTAAGGTTCTCAGGGATACTGCGACGGGAAACTCCAGCTCGGCCAGCAACTAGTCCAGTAATGTATACATCCTCGACTATTATGAGCGGAGGTTCAAATAAATGAATATTTATTCGATTCAATGCATCCTCAGTGAATATATAAAATAGTCCACTTAGGTATGGTGGAAACACGTCAGGATAATACTCATCCTTGCGAAGAGCTTGCTTACTACAACCACTGTTATGACATCGTTGTACCTTCACATCTTTTTGGTATATACCATACAAATAGCCATCGGTAAAGTGATCCATGTATGATCGCAGAAGATATGTATTGACGAAATTGTCATCATTCGTCTTAATTACGAATCGATAGTCGGTCACGCGTGCCGCCTGCGCAGCCCACCGCACCAAGGCGATAGATCTCAATGTTGAATTACGATAATGCTCATGGACATTAATCTGAACTATATCGTTGTGTAAACTGGCCTCGCCGCGAAGAGCTTTCAGCTGATCGAGCGCATTTGGTCCCACCGGAAGGCCCGTGACAAAAACAACTTGTAACCATTGGGTAGCTCCCCAACTCTGTCGAATTGCGTGGCGTTTTTCTGAATCTTTAACGTTTGATATAATACATATGAGCACGCTTTTATCAGCGCGAAGTCCGTATGGCTGAATTAGAAACTTCAGATCTGCGCTCCAAGTTTGGTAGCTTGATAATTTCCTAGTGTGTCTAAACAGAATTAATCCTCCTCCAAAAATAATGAAAGTCACCAGGCCAGCAAGCACCAGGTAGAGTAGTAAACGCCGAAAGTATCTCATCTGAAATGATTTTATAGTTGGGTAATTACATAAGCGTCCGGTAACTCCGTCCGGGGTAAGCACAGTCTTCACTTGCTGCGTGCACAACAATCACATGCAGAACCTTCGTGACGTAATCGAGAATAAAGGACGTTAAAAGGAAATCCTTCACGCGTTAGCTTTAATGGCCATTCTCGGTAAATTTTAGAATAACGCAAAAAATTTCCGTAGCGTTGGAATAAACGTGAGATTAAAAGCAGTAAAGAACAACGATGTTGATAAGCCAGTTTTCATTACGGGAGTTTTTAGAAATGGTGCAGATATTTGCAGGGACAACTTGCTGTCTATGTCCTAAATTAACTATGTCAATCAGCTAATATTGTCTATGATACCAAAAAACACGACACTACAATTTGTACCTCGTTCGCATTCTACCTACGAGTCACCGGGAACTACTAGCTACGCAAAAGTCAAACTATTACAAAATCGATTCAACTAGATGACTTTGTTCCGCCAGTTACTCTAGATGACTGATCTGATCTGTCTAAATCTGTTATTAAACACGTTTCGATATCCGAATGTTAATAATGATTATATTTTACTTTTTTTTTGTATCAAAAGCAGCGTTTCATCTCGCTTCCGAGTGGTATTTTTAAAAATCATCTTTCGAAATATCGAAGTTACAAAAATCCCACTCGCTTTGCGTCGAACTCTACATGCTTTCTATCATGCAGACAAATTACCTGAAAGTGTGAGGCGAACTCTATTTGTTCTTGGTCTTTTCGAGCTCCTATCGTTCTGGAAGGCTTGTTATACTTGACGGTGCTTGAAAGAACCACAGGAACGTTCTCGTAACCTCGGAGGCACAGTTAAAGACTACTTTCATTTATTAGAACTCATTCTCTGTGGTATATCTGACCAATGTACAATGATGGTGCAAGGTAGTAACAGTACAAAGCAATACCTGGCACCATCATGAACGCACTAGATGCTTGAACCGTGCTCAAGCTTTGAAGGAATGTTCCTCTCCATTATATGTCCTGTAGTGTTTCTTTACCCTGTCGACCAGTCGTTAGCATACGACCAAGTGCTTTTAGTATAAAAACTAATCATCCGCATCTAGTATAACATTTACTATTTAGTTAACTAGGCAATATTAGCCAATAGGCCCTCAGATTTTTTAGGACCGTGTGATCGTAGCCATGAATGTAACGATTTGGACAGGTCGATTAATTTTCACATGAGCAATGAAAAGCACTCTACCGTCTTCCACGACCCACTGGTGAAAGGGTTACCCAACGTTTTTTAATTGTGGAGTACTTCCGATAGCAGTTCTTCTTCGTCTTTGTAACCAGTTTTATTGTCACTTGGATGGCGACCGTTACGTTTAGCAAGTGTTTAGTGGAGTCAGAATGGAGCGGGATTACCGGTGTTAATTTGGGCAACAATGTGTCTAATGGGTGCCAATGTTCTCAAACGAAACACCTGCGCAAAGAGAAAACAATCCGAGTGGCATGATATTCAATGAAAGTTATTTTTTTTACCGGTGCTCCGCAGGGACTAAATGTAGATATAGCTCAAAAGCTAGTGATTGCTGAGAACAAATTATTGGGTAACTTGGCGCAGACGAAATTTTATGGTCAGTATGAAAGCTGATACTAAAATTCATTCAGTGAGTAGTGTTCATGTTGGGCCGTTGGTCACTTTGCCATAAAGACGGATGATGACGTACTCGTTAATATAAAAATATAAGGACTATTTTACCCGTGCTGGGCCATATGCTTATTATAGGCAAAGTAGGAATGAATCGTTGTCAGAACGTAGTAAGTACGGCTTAACAAAGATATAAGTTTTATCCTAATACGCACCCACTTTATCCGCTTAAACTACTTTACGCATCCACTAAGCGAGCCCTACAACGGGATCTATAAACACGAAGCTAGAGCCTCAGTCTCTATTTATTAAAGATGTGTAAAGGTATTAGACTACTCGCTGAGTTACTGTTCTAATACGCTTGATAATATTTAAAGCCAAACTCTTAGTACCTAGCGTCCCAGCTCACATTTCTGGTATCTTACGGTTTTAAAACAACTACTGCAATTACATGTATCTATAGAAATGCAATTTTAGAGTGCATTTATGTTATTTATATATATAGAACAAAAATATAGGAACCTGAACTGAAATGCAAATTTTGGTTGTTGGAACTAACTTTGTACCCGAAAAGAACCCTTACGCACATTTTTTTTAACTTTGAATTAAACGCTTAAAAATAATAATAATGTATATTACAAAATCAATGTTATTTATTTTTTGGTGCAAGTGTGCATTCTCGTTTGCCATAATAATGAATGAAGAAAAGTCAAATTACTCAATGGGTTTTTTAACATTTTGAAGTAAAAACATAATTCTGCTGGAAGGTTAATTAAAAAATACCTATATATACAAAATACTAAATATACAAAAATTTTTTTTTATAGCAATTAACCGTGCCTTATCTTGAAAAAAGTGTTCTTTTTTAGATGTAAAACTAGACCTTTTCAGTTCAATGACTTTTTGTGATCAAGAATTTCCGATGCAAAAAAAAAAAAAACTGTAGCAGTACTTGTTTAGTGGAAGGTTTGACTCTAGAAATTACTGTAGTTCTTGCCGAGACTCTTTTGAATAAGGTGAGATCTTAAATGAAGAAGACTGACCTATAAGCTTTAGTCACTGGGACAGGAGAACGTGTTCCCCTTGGAAGCTGCGCGTTATTTTAAATCTGCTATTTCTAAATACCAAATTAATCGATGATGATGTCGTGCATATATATACCTGCTGGTATATCGAATTAACAGGCGAGCACATTTACATTAAGTATTTGAAATATTGAAACGACATTTGTAAAAGAAGGTATCGATTTATTCTACAACATGAAATACATTATTTCTACCCAAATTGAATCCCTTGAGCGAGGGGTAACTCTTTTGTATAATTTATGGTACAAGTTGATCTTCGCATATATTGTTTCCATGAGTCACTTCCAGATTCGCGCCCCCAACCAGTGCTCTGAAATTATTAAAAAAAAACGAAAACATTTTAAACGACCATAACACATCATCCCTTCGGCATTAACTTCAAGGAAGCAAATAACTCTGAAAGTATTGGCTTGGATTTTCAAAATCTGGGACTCTCGGTCGTAAAGTAACTAATGTAGCACATAGCTATGCATACAGCTGTATACGAGTTTATTATCAGCTATCGTAGATATTAAAGAACGTAAATATACCTTATTTCCTCCAAAAGCACCTCCAATCTCGGCTCCGTTTGTAGGGATATTTACATTAACAATGCCGCAGTCTGATCCTTTTGGGCCGATCCACTGTAAGAAGAACAAGCAGCTTATATTTATTACGTCGTGCGCCAAAGACTAAACACCACAGTAATTCCCTCATGATAGCACTTCTTTTGAAATTCCTATTCCATCGTCAAATCTTTGCCATGATAAAGGGAACAACCCACGGTAAGATAACGTATACTTAGCATCATATACGATGAGAGAAGGCTCAATCGTAATCAGTTTAAATCGCTGTGAGCCGGGAGCCGTTCTAACGGATAAGCCTTCCGAGGAATACCTAAATAAAACCACTTACATTGTGGCGAATAGACCTTCAGTTAATAGACAAATAGAGAACGAGCTTTTTGTTACCTTGAAAACTTTTTCGATATCTTGAGTGAAGAGTGAACTGCTAAGTCCCTGTTTGACCTCATTATTCCAGCGGATGGCTTCGTCGAGGCTTGAACACTTCAGAATGTACACAATGGGCGCGAAGGTCTCCTTCTGCACAACAGGTGAATCGTGTTTGAGGCCTGTTACAATGGTCGGTTCAACGAAATTACCCTCGTGTTCTACACGTTTTCCGCCACAGATCACCTGCGCCAAAGAAAAATAATGGATAAAAACCTTTCCTGCATCCTCCTTTATTCCAAGTACCGCATACGGCTAAACCGCTAAGCACACTTGTATCACAACTTCTACAATATCACGATATTGATGTAGTCCAGAGCCGTCAATTACATAACTTTTTGTAGTTGTTATCCGCTTCTGAGATCGAAGACCAGATCCTTAGGATCAAGCACGACTATGCTAATGATACTGCTGACTATAGTTATTTGATAGAAAGAAAGAGCGAGCTCACCGACCTTGCCACCCTGTTCCTGAGATTCCTTTATAGACTGCAGAAACGCGTCGACAGCTTGAGGACTGTGCAAAGGCCCACACAGCGTAGAAGTTTCCAAAGGGTCACCAAGCCGTACCTGCCCGTAAGCCGACGTTAGACGTTCCACTACAGTATCGTGGACCTTTTATTAAACAAAAATATATGTATATGTCGGTTAAACGTTCAAGAGATTTATTTACTTTGGATATAGGATACACGTATATATACAGATTTATTTAGCTAGAAGTAAAGGTTTATCAAATGTATGTGTGAATATGTTTCAGCCTCCCGTCGTAGCCGTTCCGTCAGTTAGAAATCACACTTGTTTTAAAATTGTACTCGGCGCATTGCCAGGGCTAAAGTACATACATTTGTGCTACATCTGTGGGCGGACGAATGGGTCAATGAAATTCAAGTTACAAAATTGAGAAAGCTCTTATATATTATCCCATATTAGATTATTGACCTCCTCGCCTCCGCTAAAAACATTATCTAATGCTCAGAACAGGCAATGTGCCAGGAAACAACTGCGCCTGATTACCTTTTCATGCACGATCATCCGCCTTGCCGTCGTGCACCTCTGACCGGCCGTGCCAACGCACGCGAAGAGCGCTGCCTGCACGACCATTTCGATATCTGCTGTCTCGTCTACAAGAATCGCGTTGTTGCCTCCCAATTCCAAAATAGTTTTGCCGAACCTTCCTTGCACCGCAGTGCCTACCTGCATATCGACCGGTGTTCCCGTGTGGCAGAGAAACAAATGACACTGCTTAATCAAAAACAAATCTACAACGATAACGAGCTATAGCTGTCTAATAGATCAACTAGATGAGAACTAGATTGGCCCATGGACGTACACGGATAATAGAGTTTCCCTACAGTAATGCTTGTATTTTTTCCCTCCGCATTTTGCGTATTTTCTGAAAAACCAGTATCTTCAATACTTTTACTTACCTTTTGACCTGCGAGACAGCTACCAGTAAACGAAACTAGTGGCAATCGCTCGTCTTTGGCTATTGCTTCGCCGATGTCCGTTGCCCCCGTGACCAGAGAGCATATTGCTCCGGGCAATTTGTTGGCTGCCAACACCTGAACGTACATAAACACCATCAAACGCTTTGAAATCATACGCTATTTTATTATTTTAAAGAAATGATCTCTGGGTAACATATGACCACAACCAATTACGTTGGTTATTCATGATTACTAAAAAGTAAATACAGAGTCAGCAGCCTTATGTATAAATCTGCGTTGAAATTGCATGAACCCAGTCGACGTTTGTTAAAGCATATGTCCTTCTATTTGGTAGCTATATGTTCAGTTCAAACTATTGAATACTCCTTGACATCAGCTCCGCGTCTACTGTCGCCACAACCATCTACAAGTAACCTTGTGCTGAGTAGCGGCCATCTATCACGTGCAACTAATATATATATATGTATCTATTGCTGCGCAAAAAACAAGCATTATTCACGTTTATCGTACATGCGTATTTAGTTCATAACATTTTTCTTACCTTTTCAATGATTTTGGTCACAGCTACTCCGCAAAGAGGCGTGGATGGAGCGCCTTTCCAGACCATCGTGTTACCGCATACCATAGCGATGGCGTTATTCCACCCATAAACGGCAATAGGGAAGTTGAAGGCTGAGATGATGCCAATAGGTCCCAATGGATTCCACTGCTCAAGAAGTACGTGACCGGGACGCTCTGATGGAAATGATTTGCCCCCGAGCATTCGGGAGAGACCCATCGCATAATTGCAAATGTCGATATACTCTTGAACCTCACCTGGTGTGAAAATATTAATAAAGCAATATTTGTATAATCGATCAAGACTAGAACAGTAATCAAAAATAGCACATAGCTAGTCAACGCTAAAAGTTCAAAGCATTTAGAGTTACGTCATAGGCTTTAACCTTATCATAGAACTACTAAAAATTCGCAATCTTTAGCTCAAAAGAGTAACTGATCTACCAGATATTTATGCAACATGGAAGAACGAGAACCGAAAGATGCCATTTCGCAAGAAGGAAGCCCGAATTAAAAATGTTTCTGGGTGCCTAAGCGCAAAATTAAAAACAAAAAGAAAGAGATAAATCGGGTGCCTTAACTCATCAGTCTAAAATTAAAGCACATACCTTCTCCTTCTTGGACTATCTTTCCCATTTCGAGTGAGATGAGTCGGCCTAACTGAGCCTTCTTGTCTCGCAGTGCCTCGCCTATTTGATGAACAATTTCACCCCTCCGGGGGGCCGTTAGGTCCACGAAAATGTCCCACGCTTCTGTAGTGGCCTTTATGATTTCGTCATATTCGGCTAGGGTAACCGTGGTCACCTCCGCAATTGGCTTGTTGCTAGCAGGGCATACTGATATCAAAGGCTGTGACAAAAGAAAAATATATATATATAGTGCATCCCTACGCACTGCAGTACCTTATCGTCTTCGTTTCACTGGAGTAACCTCAGCGAGTTAATGTTGACGTCCATATGCAATTTTATATAAAAGTTAATTCGGAGAAGCCAATTCGTTATGAAGCTAAATTGTTATTTGTGGCAGGCCAAAAAAGTGAAATGGACGTGTCAGTGATTAACAAGTTTCTGCCGCATCCAGTTAATCAGAAAGGTCACCTTTGTTTTCAGCTTCAATTTAGTCCCAGAACGAATACAGGCATTGTGACTGCACTTTAGTCAGCTGGAGAAAGATAGAATGATCCGTTTGCATAATATATCTTGAGAGATTATGTGTATGCATAATGTTTGCGAACACGATCGATCAAACGGATGTCAACGTACTTCTCTAATAGACCTATGTAATACTAATATTTTTTCTGGATTTCACTGTTGTTGTACTTGTTGAAATTGTTGTGTCTACTTTTCGTTAAGTAATGCCCAAAGCGAACATCCAGTAGCAAAGTGCCAGTGTGGCATTGACTGGCACGCTGGCTGGCTGACTCTTTTCGTTGACGATAGCTTTGGTACCGCTCGCATCTTGCCATGACTATCTAATCAACTCAGTCTATCGCAAACATTGACTACCGCTCAAGAGTATGCTATCAGTAAAATGTAGAATCCCTTGAGAGTAAAGTTAGTTGCCCTACCGGAAGTTTGTCACAATGTTTCGCCAGATATAGTACAGTGTACTAATAGAAGCACTTTACGGAGCCCTGTGATTTCTATGTCAGCTTCTCTTTGTTACGCTCAAGAGAACCGTCAATCAAACTAATCAAAGTTACTTAACATAAAACAGCGTATTTAATATCATAGACACACACCGAACCCATAACGGTGATAAATTTAATTTTAATAACGCGCAAGGTGATCAGTTGAACTATGAGGACTACACGATGGGGTTTATATGTATAGAAGAGTGTAGCCACTAAGATCCTACGTCAGGAAATATTTTATTACTTAATTTTACGGTATGGCTGTATTCAGTGCAAACATCAATGCATATGCCTACTATAACAAAACAATATTAAAACGAATATTAAAAGTACCTCTACTTTACCTAAAAATTCTTACGGTTTTAAACGTACTTTTAAACTAGCCTAGGTTTAAAAACGTTACATCGTTTCATGTTCAATGTATTTATGGCCGTTGTGCAAAACCAGACTTGTAGCTTATACATCTACTGATGTAGTTGGAAAAATAGCCTAGTTAGATTTGCCTTTTGAAAAAATAATTTCACTAAGTTCTTACGTACACGTAATAATATCACCATTGCCAGTGTAGTGCTTACGGTAACTAACCTTTCCTGAACCGATCCATTTTCCATCGAAGCCACCTAGGTTCGTCTTGCTGAGTCCAAGATCCTTAAGAAAGGCATATTTTGGGTCTTCGATGAGATACGGCATCACGCTCGTTGTATACAACTTGCCTATCGTTACAACGCCGGCTCCAGTAATTTTAGCAGACGACAGCAGTTCGGCCCGTTTTGAGCGAACACTACTGAGCATGCGCAAGCCAGCTCCACGGAGCATCTTTCCTCCTCCAAGATCTATTGGCGTTTCACTGAACTCACGTTCTAGATTAAATGAACGACCAAACGGATCCACGCGCAGGGCTGACAAGGCGGCACTCGACAGTAGTTTGGGTGGTCCTCTAGCTCAAAGATAAATATGCCTTTCACTGCCACTGACGACGGTTGACAGAAATGTTTTGTGCGAAAGTGATGTTTCTGTTTACCCGAAATAAAGGCAAGCGCACAAGCCGCAACCCAGACACCCGCGCAATTACGACCAAATCGAGGGCTCCGTCTACCGGTGAGATATATTATGATCCACAACTATCAGTTCTATAATAAATATCGCAAAGGGTGAGGAAAGGGTCTCACCTCGACGAAAGGTGGAGAGCGTGATTACCATTATCGTTAGTAGATAAAGCTGGTAGCAGTGGCAATGATAGACAATGAGAGTATGAGATAACTGTCCTTTTCGTTATGATGAAACGGTAGCAGTGGGTACGATCGTAGACTAATTCTGGTGATGATCGTTAAACGGCTTCATCAAAGTTCATTTGCTTACGCCTAAAAATATTTGAAGAATAACAAGATCATATATGTCGATGCAAAAACGTAATGCAAATATGGATGGTTCGAAAAAAAATACATAAAAACATCAACATTAGCTAGATTATTTAAAAATAATGACACAACAACCAAGATATAAACCACTTTAAGGGATAATTACATTCGATCAAAGGCAATGCATATCTGGAAGGTAAATCGACCTCTGACGGAAGATACGCGTGAAATAGAAAATTAATCCTCTTGAACCCGGCAAAAATATTGTCTTCTAAAAAAGATGCTCAAAAAGCTCCAGTAAAAAAATATTGACTCATAGAATTTACTGCTAGAATTTACGACAACTGTTTTCCGCGTTACTTGCTACTCATCTGTTTCACTTTAAACGTCTATAAAATAAGTTTTTAATCTAATTAACAAGTCACACCTCTTGCGCCTACAGATCCACCTCTAAACGAGAATAACTGAAAAAGCACAATGTCATTATGGCACAGAGTACAAATAGATTAACGTAAGCTTAAATATCTTATTTTCTTTTCAATTTTATTTAAGCCAATATTGCATTACGAACCGCAAATTGATATATATATATATATATATAGTCCTTATGTTCTGAGAAGAGAGATCGCAATAATAAACCTTTAAATTTTTGTTTGTATCTATTCATATTTTTGACGGTGATGCGACAAGCATAAAGTACTTACTATACCTTGGAAAAATGTTAAATCAGCTTAGAAAATAAATGGAAAATTCGACTTTTTGAACCCTTTGCAGTCTGTGCATCCGTTGGCACACTATTCCTACCGAATCACCTCAATAGAAGGTAATACGGATCTGACATATAAATCAATGTAGAATTGCAATTACAGATTTCTGACTTACCCATTTTTATGGAGAAAACGCGCCCGTGCTAAAAAATTTCGAATCAAGAAAGCCTTCTAAGAACTAACATTGAAATGGAGTTGGCAGAATATACTTTCATATGTTTTTGTAGTTATATCGTTAAATTGAACCCAAGATGTATCCTGACAAACATTTTATTAGTCTACATGGTTTGTACAATGGATTCGTCAGTTCGGCGTTGTCTGCAACTCATGATCTTTGTTATGATCATCACCCTGTCGAAGTAGTCATCGTAAAACAATTCCAAGAATTATATACAACCGGACAAGCTCCCGTAGGAGATATCATCTACAACTCTTTGACTACACACTCTATTTGATGTTTTCAGTAACTTCACGCCCTAATTAACCCTAACTAACCTAACATCACGCACGCACTTAAATACAATATTTTCGCATTATATGAACGTTGTTAGATCATCATCAGATGATATTCTGTGAACTTCCTTTATAAAATGGCACTTTGTCCAAATGGGCTAGTCCTTTTAACATGAAAAATCTCCCCTTTTTGATTCGATATAGTCTACAAAAGTGTTTGTATATTTCACTAAACATGTACTCTGTACAAATTTTTCAGTCTTTGAAAGCTAATGTTTATATTAATTAGAGATTCAATCAACATTGTGTGTGTTTTTTCACAGGATACCTCGTAGTAATATGAAGTTAGGCCACTTCACTAAAAACTATAAGGTGATACTGCTACGCTCTTTGAACCAACATTTTTAAATCTGGTGAAACACCAGACTCTGGCACTTTCGTCCAATTTGACTTATATATATATTATGTATATTATTTGCAGATGCAAATTTAAATGTTAATGCAAGCGAGAGGCACGTTGGAATTTACTATTGAATTACGTTGGATTTTACACGCGTCAGTCCTTATCGCCAAGAAGCAGGTATAAAAACTGTAAAAGCATATCTATTCGTTTCCACCTTACGCCGTTACGGCTCACAAGCGTAAAGCCGAACGCAATATGGCATGACAAAATCAGGTACCTAAAACAAAGCCTAAACGGCGGCTCGTAGGTTCACGCCGTTTTTAGCTACACCCGAGTGACCTGCGTAAATTTAGGCGCATCGAGTGTGTCCTTTCGAAGTCTCCTTACGGCCATATCGTCCTGTACGGGATCAGCCGTCGTTGTCGGTCGCGTCTTGTACCTGACGACAATTAAAGGTGTACAAATAATAAGCTGTAGTTATCACGAAATTGATGTACAACTATTATGTATACAATTTAGATGGACTAAAATATAAGCTGACCTTTAAGCTTAGACTGACGCTAACAATTTTCGAGTTGCTTTCATACGTTTATGCACTCATTTAATTAGGGAAATGCTTTTATAATGATTAAAAATGCTGATATTTCATTGAATGTTTATGATAACTGTCTACAGTGTTCACATGACCTTAATTAGATAGATCATGTAACAAATGTATATTTCTCTTTTTCGAGGTCAACTAACCTGGCGCGCATATCTCTTCTTGACGCCGTGAGATAATGGCCTCTGGCTGAAAGTTGTGGAGGCTCTTTCTCTGCTGTAAGTGGGATACCCATAGGAGGTTGTCTTTCTGGACCTTTCCATTGCTTACGGAGCATGCTTCGATACAACACATCATCACGTTCAGCATCGGCCTCGTTGAAGATGTTCAATAGCGATGCACAGGGGCATTCAAGTGGAGGCGTAAATAGCGGACTCAGACGAAGATAACATTGAGTTGGAAATCTACGATCTCGAGGAAGCGGTATCGAGTCGGGCGTCCGCGGCTCATAATCCTGAAGAAGTAAAATATGATAGATAATCCCCAAACTAATATGGATAATAATTTAGCTAATATGTACAATTTGTGCTGTCCTTTCTTAGGCTTGTCTATTGTCTTTCGACTCTCTCTATGAATCATTCAACGTGTCGATGCCAGAAATCAGTCTCAAGGGCGACATGAAGACTTTGTGTATTACAATAATGTTATAATAATTATAATAATAAGTAATATGTATTCATTAGTTAATTTAGAGCGCATTGCTTATTGTGAAATCAATATAAATTCTTAAACTTTTTTCTGCCGCCTTTACCATTTAAGTAGATTGAAACGTAAAAATCGCGCGTTCAATAAAATCGAATATCATAAATGCGCACCTAGTTCAAATAAAAGATAAAAGAATCTGCACAGTAACCAATTTTAAAAAAAAAATTCATAAATAGCAGCTTTAAGACATCGTATGGTATATATATTCTTAATTTTTTATATATATACTTTTAGCAGTCGATCTTGCTTTGCGAAACGACGCGCAGCCAGGTCATCAAGAACGCGATCCGGAACTGCCGAACGCCGCGAAGGTGGCGTCTTTCCATGGAGATGAATTAACGAGATGGTGTCGTCAGTAGACTTCTTTCTAGCTCGCAAAATCGGTTGATTGAATCTGTGAATGACGGAAATAAAATATTTTCGCAGCCCAAGTTACCAACATCATAATGGCTAGCAAGTTACTGCAAAGTGATAACTTTAAACAAAACGGCAATGTTAGTATTTTTATTGGTAAATCCATAAATAGCAGATGTTGAAAGTACTCTTGGGGAGTAGAATCTCATTCCAGTTGCCTTATCACTACACTAAAGTGACGGATCATGTAGCCGAAAAGAGAATATTTGGAGCATCTTTAATATATTTTCGCAAAACTTCCAGTTACATGACAATTTATCATTTTTACAAAATGGGTGTGCACTGTTTCATTGTGCGAACGACTAACAGCACAAGTATGACCACAGCAAGGTATATACGTGAATTGGTTTATCCAGTTCACGTATATATCTTGGCTAGATTAAATCAAAGAGCGGCGGTTGACGACGGCGTTACCGGAACAGATAGGGTAAATGCAGACTGCAACTACTACAACATCTGTTGTTGTGATTGTTGCCACCATAAGATCGATGTCATTGATGGCGCTTTGCTCCTCCCTTGTCATCAGCGATCATCGAGGAGCATCGATGACGCCCAGGCGTGTTTTTTATTATTTCTGCAACAAACTCTACTACGAACAACAACGATCCGGAGCTGGTTGTTTTTTTTTGTTACAGTATTTTATGTGTGTGGTGGCTGTGTTTAGTGGAAGGGGGATTTCATTTGTTTAGCATACGAAGCCATTCGTCGACGTCTATGGGCTGACACAGATATGAATCGTCGACTTCTCAGATTTAGTTGAATTAGAGTTCGGGTCCGACCAATACGACTATGTTGTTGATGTTGGAGTGATAGTACAAAATGTTTTTGAGGAGCTATGATGTCAGTATCACGAATGCATTATACATAGTTGGCTGAGGTACCTATTAGCACGTGATTGGCAATTATTTCTGCAAATGGACCTTACTGGTTATACCTGCGCCTCGGTAGCATCCTGTACTTTTTTTGAAATCTTTCAGGTAGGTCCCTTCGTTCGGCTCTAATCAAAAGATCCTCGTCTTCCTCGAGACGAAGACTTGAATAAAGATCTAATAGGTCAGAAAGTTCGTCTCGGTGACGGCTGGGTCTGATGAACAGACCATCGATTAATGGCGACCGACCCAGGATCTGTGCACAAAAGAATAGTGGTAGGAATTATATTAGAATGCAATTTCCAAATAGTTAGCTGATATACAAGAAACCGAAATTATCGAATCATCGTTTCAACTAAGTTGTTTACTACCCTCGACAAGGTTCAATAAGAACTCGAAAAGAGTCGCAGATCTTGAATCATTGCAGACAGCTTAGCCCGTCATGTTAAATATACTATTTCTACGGGTCAAGTTGTAGAACAATGTAAGAATTAAAAACTTACCCCGGACGTTTTTTGTTGACGGAAGATCATTGAGGGTCCCTTGCTGACCGGTGTGCTGCTTCTGATCTCTGTCGGATCTTTCACCGGGGGCAGCTGTCGATACGGAACGGTTCCAGGAACTCTTTGGCCTCCGAAAGGAATTTTATAAGGTACTGCCTCAAGGTCAAGGGGTAACAACCATCCATTGTTCAACTTTGCAGCCCAGTCTATTTCACTAGAATCACTTCGGTCTGATGATGTCGTTAAGGAAAGAAGTGAACTACTTAGAGGTTTCCTCTTGGCTATTGAACTCGGAACATAATAACTCTTTGCTTCAATGTACGCGGAATCCTCAACCTGATGAAGATGTTCATGTACATCTTTCTGGTGGTATTCTTCGACAGTAGCATCATACATGTTCGACTGTTCGGGAAAGGAATCGTCGTGTTGACTTTCCTGATGCTGAAACCTCTCATCTGTTTCTGGGAGATCTTCCTGAAACGATTCGAATGCCGGTTGCTCGGAGCGAGTTAATGTTGTCTCCGGCGAATAATAGCCAGCGTCAGGACTCATTGCCACCCTTTGGGGAAGCGGTGAAGATGCCGCCGACGATGAATAACAGGAATCTGTCGCGGGGGCATGCTGCTGGGGCACGTTGTGGTGGTGATGCGTAGAAGGCGGATGTGGACGATGATCGTGCTGGTGGTAGCGTTGTGTGGTTCGAGTTAAGGTAGTTGTGACAATGGCACGCTTGGCACCGCATGCTCCTTTTTCGGCTGGTACGTATCGACAGCCCACTGGAAACTCGACAAGTGACTCGTCCATCACTTTCTCTTGCTGCGAAGATTTGAACGGCTTGCACGAACATGACGGTAGGTTGCTGTCGCCTTCGTCTCCGCCGCCGCTGCCTGAAAACGCAAACATTTTCAAAGTTAATCAAGTAGCAAAATAACATGAGTTTGCGGTCATAAATAAAATTAATGTTTTTGGTGCTGGGTATGTAGAAAAGAATAGAACCGGACTTGTGCCGCGATACTCATATCTGTTTTAATAAATACAATGTAAACGCAGATATACGACTGGTTGTCTTTTAAGTTATGAACTAGATCCGTATATTCTAATATTGACCATTCTCTGGCACAATTTTTAAATCTGATTTGTTATTTTTTTATTCTTTACATTGCCCACCTTGCCCGACGCATTAGAGGCTCACACATCGGAATATCGTCTTGACAGGGAAAACAAAAATTAACATATAAAACTCTTTAGATAAACGTAAACAGTTAACAACTCCACATAAACATAAGTTATAAACATCCCGGAGACGTGTGCATACTTTAAAAATATCAAACTAAAAGCGAGAAGAACTTGGTGTCATCCGGCAATTCGAAAAGTGTTAACGGCAATAGTTCCCGCTTTAATCACAGAATTTAATAGAATATATCCCAGTAGCAACCGCCACACAACAAACCATAGTGAATCCCTAAGAACTGTTCCCCAAATAAGCAGTATGAGATTTTATATCGTCATAGACGAAACGCTTTTGTTTGGTCTCTAGAAAATACACGTTGTTCAAAGACAGCCAAAGAGCCCAGGCTGTGACAAACTGTTGCCATAGTAGGATATTTTTTGCCTTGGTCGTACATGGGCGTTATTCTTCTAGTTGAATTGTGGATAACACCCGCGAAGATGGCCCAGATCACAAAACGAGTGCATAAGCATCGATCCCACCTTTTAGCAAAAGTAACACCAAGGCTATTTTAGGATCAGCTTTTACAATAGTGACAAACTAGTTCCAGTAACTTGCTATTGTGAAATTTACAATCGACGGTGTGCTTGCTTTGCTTCACGATTCTTCAATGGCTTTCATTTGGAGTTCTAATGAATGAAATTGTGAGTAAAGAAAGTTCTTTTCAGCTATTACACATCTTGCTGTACCTGCGCCATCTGAATCTACATTTCGCCAGACACAAATGTTAAAGTTTAACAATTTATCTAAACTTTCAAGTGGATTCATACAAAGCTTGGGTCAGGTGTATTGCCGCCTTTCCCAGATAATTTTTGCAAAGTCCAGCTAGAATCACGGTTAAATTCGAATCTTGAAAAACATCTAAGTGTTTGCTTTGCATGCAAACGCTTTGCGAACGCTGGGTATATGCCTTAGTTGCACTTACCAAGAAAATATCTTTTGTGACAAATAGGAACGAATAATTTTGAATGATTTTCAAAATTTTATTCATCGTTTTTTGTTAAAAACTATATATATATATATATATATATATATTTTTTTTTTTTTTTATTTATTGAATTATGATGCTCCCATATATTGAAAAAAGAATTATTCAAAATTTTTAAACTTAGATATTATATAGCATAGCTAATTTAATAGAAAAATTATTAACAAAATCAATCAATATCTTAATTCATGTGTCCATCTACGTTCTTCCATTGATTAGTATGGTTTGTAAAAAAAAAAAAAAAGACGAAAGATTCACACTTGGATATTCATAAAATGTAATTATTTTTCGATGCTAGAAGGGAACATATTTTAATGTGTTTATTCTTCATTACCGGTAATCAGTAAAGTCAGGCATCGGAAGCAGAGTCTTCGTTTGTTCCCGAACTTGATCAGAAACACGTCCTGACAGCCTCGGCAAATGCGTTTCTTCATCGCCCAACATCTGTTCTAAATAATCCCTATCTCTTTTGAGAGCATACCGCCATCACCAAAAGAGTTTATTGAACGAAGATCATTGAAAATGCCACCTCGATACTCTCATCCTACGGAGTATCAAAAGATGTCAAACTTCGTTTATATACATTTAAGCCGACGAGACAGATATTTAACTGGGAAGCAAGCATTTTCATACGCAATTTCCAAAATTCGCTCAAGATATATTGGCTTCTTGCTAGGACGAATACTGTGAGGTGTTCGGTCATTTCTCTAGCTATGCATTAGGCTCCAGCGCTATACAATACTGTTGCATTAAATTATGTGATAAGCACTAACAATTTCGGATAATTTAAATCAAGTCCGCTCGTCTGACATGAGCTATGTAGAACGTGACGGTCACGGATATAGTCAAATACACGAAAATCAGCACTCAAATTGTTCACATAAAACACGAATTAAAAGAACCTGGATCTTTCGCAGAAATTTTAACTTCGATTGCAGATACACTAATTCCTTGCTTAAGACCCTCCTCTTGACTAAGCAGTATTCGAAAATTTTACCCTTGTGTATGTATGTGTGTGTGTGTATATAGCCTTCTCCTCTCTGTCCTATATATTTACCATCCTTAGTTGATCCTGTCTAGTTCCGTTCCGATAACGGTGCTATTATCGCTGCTGTCTACTGTTATTACTGCCGTCGCCTACGTCCGCCTGACGTCCGGCTACTTGACTAGTAGCTATATAGTTTTCCCTCTTTCTAGGTCACAGTGCCTAGAGGCAGTTGAACTCAGAGCTGTCATATCTTGCCTCAGGATAGGAGCTAACACTGCGGCGTAGAATTTGTTCGATCAACTTCTCATGGTCTGCTCATTCCCTGCCGATCGGCAACGGCACATGCGGCGCCGTTTCAGAAATAGATATCGACTAGTAGTCTACGAGAGAAAGGGAAAAAGGACGCTGTGGCGTGCCTGGATCCACGGCCGAGAAAAATAGGAAGTCCCTAGCAAGAACAATCGAATGATTGATTGATTCCATTAGAAACCGCGAAAACAAGCGAGGGTAAAGAAAAAGAACGCAAACAAATTATATTGAGACAATTAGCAACTAAAATATGGCTAATTTGTGTTGATGTCTGAATGACACAATAGATAGACACGCAGATAAATCGACAGGCATCCTCCCTTCCATGACAAGGTTTTTCTGGGGAGGGGAGGGGGTGTAATGTTCGGTATTTTAGTGTTCCTGAATTACACCAAGCTGTCGCGTTAAGAACAGCAGCCTTTTCTTTCGCAGGCACCATACCATCCGCATCCGTGTAGACGTCTTTTTTACATCGTCGCAGCACTGAGAAACCACCACAGTAGTGATCATAAGGGTGCTGATGATGGCAACGATCCACGCTCTACGTTCACTCACGCTGTTCCGCCCTCATGAGACAGGTCCATACAAACTGTTTCCCTATCAATTTAAGTGAAAAATAGCTCCCTACGCGAACAAGCATAGAATTCAAAGGTGAGCAATTCGATCCTACTAGTCCTCTAATGCAAGTCCTTTTTTGCCTTAACTTGTCCAACGCCGTCAGGTCAGCTGCTTATTGAACATGTTTTTACGTAGCAATGCAGTAGATCTCATTAGGGAGTTTTGGCCTGAAGTCTCGTCTGATATCTAGCGGTGGCAAACCAATGTTTACTCGCAGATGCTTTATCTGCGAGTAAACATTGGTAAACAATGGAAGAAAAAGGGAGATTGATATTGGCGTGTAGCTAAATATATCTAGACCAGCATACAAGTAAATGAATTCGCTTTAGGTAACTGAAGAAAAAAATGTGTTTCTTTTTATGGAAAAAGCCTCACAAACACAGAAATCTTTCAAATACGTCGCGTTATGTTTTGTATTCTGATAATAGACTAGATAATATAAAAGTATTGGAGTATACTATTAATAAAAACACCGATTGAATTCTAGGTTTTGTTTAAATTTATTGTTATGGATTGCATATGGCTAAGTGCGCTTAACATTGATAACGATAGGGCTCCATTATGTTAAGCAGACATTTCATATTGTACGTATAGAGAGCACATTTTCAGTACAAATGGCTAGCGCATGGCTAGAGCAAAGGTACTCTCTCTACATCAATTATTCATTATCAGAATCAGATATTCAGCATATTGGACATCATAACCGATCTTCAAATTATAAAAGAAGATTGATCGTCACATCGCTCGTGCTTAAGCCAGGCTAGATGCAGCCAAACAATTAGTAAAGAAGTTCGATATTATAGAATAATGTTATAGAAGAAAAGACTTACCTCGTCGTCGTGGCAACGTTCTTATTCCTCCATTCTACCGATTTTACATATCAAGATTGCCCCGCGGGCAACGAAAAATAACAACTTACTATGTACGTTCACAGTCTCCATACTACAGGCACAATTACATTTCTACAATTAGTGTCACATACAGTTGCAGTTATTGAATAGAATAATTTGTATTGGAATTATCGCGATTACGATAGTAAGCATGCAAGTTTTACTTCGAAAAATACCAGTAAAACATGCATTAGACATACATGTTTCTATATAATCATACTCTATACTGTCAAGACTATGCATGAACAGCTATCCCTTATAATTACCTGCAGACATTATCATTACCGTACCAGTTTCTTGTCAGTGTGAAAATTTCTGCCTGATATATTTTAAAATGATCGTAACTTTAGGTTTGCATAGACCGTTCAAACCGTTTAGGGAAGTCATGTAAATATGTCCAAGACATTTTCTTAACTTTTAAAACCAAAAAGCTTTAATTAAAGTCATGATCTCACATTTGTGGAGTCACAACATTTTCTATAAAATAATACAGTCGCATAAAAAGTATTATAAAATTGAAATTGTCATATACCTGTTTGAATATTGTATGTAGCACCTATCTCTCAATTACGTCAACGGCCGCCTCGATTAGTTGGACCTGAGACGATCTGCGGCATCCGAAGACCAATTCCCGGCCTACGGTTGCTGGCCAGTTAATCCTATTTCGACTCTCTAGGAACATGCAAGTTTTTGCTATATTTGCAATAAAATCAAACAAAAATAAAATGAAATTTAGGATGAGAATCAGCCGCTTTCGACGGGCGCAACTGCTCGAGCTCGTAAACCCATGGCAAGTTGCATTTGTCAAACGTCAAGCTTCGTTGCTCCATCTGGATAAAAAAACAAGCTCCTGGAATGACTCTGTTAAATTTTTTTACTTTGTGAATCCCAAAAACCATGGGCAGCGGTTAATCGAAATTTCCTAATTCTTTGACACTTTGGAAGCACAGAACGCAGTTGCACTATACCTGCCACCTTGCCTAAGGAGCCCAGATGAATTTCAGACTTCTGGCCAAAATGCGTTTTTTTTTTAACTACCCATTGAAAAATGTGTGTGTCGCAACAATAAGAATACCTGGAAGCCGAACTAATCGTCAATGCAGAGCACAAATCATACAAGTGGCTAATATGCCAAGGCAGCTCAGTGGCTTGCCTGATCAGCTCCTTGGCGTTCATAAAATACTCAGATACGGAATCGGATACTTTGCGCGGTACAGTTTTTCATTGCGGTGTGAAAAGAGGCGATCTCTTTTAGCAAGGGCTCACAGTGCGGTAATTTATGCAAGGTTTTAAGAGTCTACGTAACAAAAAGGCCGCCAGTCTAGATGATGTTTGCCTAGTGTGCCTTCCTAAGTGTGCCTTCGTGCTGGCACCATGTTAAAAGGCACTTTTTAATATATTTTTAAGTATTAATACGTCCTTATCGCAGTTGGAAGATGCTCGTTTACTAGTGATTCCTAAAAAAGTCGCAAAAAGAAGCATTTGTTATAAGCTGCTTCCCGGCTTGTTGACTATGGGACTGAACATCTACTGAAAAAGCGTACAAGCTATTTAGAAGGATCAACATCTGTCCCAGAGGGTACGCTTCGTATAAACAGCGTGCACGATCCCGGTGGCCGGTGCCAAGACAGCGCTGGCCTTGGTCTACGTGCATGGTTGGACAATTTCAGACCAACTTTCGACTTTACACGCGTGCACAAGATTATGGTGACGCTGGCTGAGGTGGGCGTAAACGTGCCCAACGGTCTCGTTGCAACTTTACCGGAAAACACGACAAACTACCACCTTTCACACAAACAACCGGTTTTGCTTAGGGGGACAACCTAAATCTATTCTAATAATCCTCGATCTTGCCCTTTTTCAAATAAGAGAGCCGAGTAAGTTGATCGAATCATGTATGCGATTTAACGGTACGGGTAGAAGAGTTTCTAAGTTCAGCAAGCTCTACTTCAATTCAACACGGCAGCCAGTCAGTTGGGAGGGACAGTAACTTTGGTCAAGACGAGATAAAATTTAAAATTTAAAAAATTTAACATTTAAAAAGGACGGGATAAAATTTAAATGGGAAAGCAGGACAGAGGCAACTGATACCTTTTAGCTTGCATTGACCACCTCTTGCTTATGATAACCGGTTCCAAATTTTTGGGACTGCTCATGTCCGTTAATGGCAAAAGTTTCACCGAGCATTTTTTCGAAAGATGAACGACGGCAGTTTCGAGTGCCTGGGCAACCAAATCTCCTCATCGTTTGCCTGTTACAATCGCTTTTTGTTTTATCCTAAGATCGCTTTGATCCTAAAGTGTGGAATACGGGTTGTTTGAAAGAACCTCACAGCGGAGAGCGTCGAACGACTAAATCGTGTAAGTGCTTCCTTTTTTAAGAGAGCACTGGAATTACACATAACAAGTCAAATATGCTTCGCGTATCTCCTAGGCGACTCGCCACTACCAGTCGACAATTTAGAGTGCCGTACTGAGCTGTAAAATCAATCTTCGAAACCGGAAACAAACATTCGGGTGCAGTGGGAACAGCGAGCGCAAAAGGAACAAAATTGGCTAAATAGACATATCGTAAATCGCATTACCATGCACCATCAACTCTGCAGGGAGCCGGGTTTTCACGAGCCTGATCATACATGCTCGTGCTCCAGATACAGGGAAAACTGTAATAAACTTCCTGCTGCTCGTTGCCCTCTTCTACCATCTTTAGGATCCCTAACAAGTTCTTCAAATTAAGTGTGTATGAAGCTCACTAGATTCGGATAATTTGTATGATGCGAGGTGCTTCAATGAATTATATTCAGTGGGACCTTGTGATATTATATCTTTAAGCTTTATATATAAAGTGGAATACTACTAGGAATGACCACGAAACAGGTATGTTGCTGGATATCTACAAAAGTAACCGATTAGATCGAACGGTGATTAACAATTTTGACGAAACATTTCGTTTAGTAGAAGCCCTGTGAGGAGCGATATTTAAAGAATCCTAGGCTTAACAAGTGAGGTCGCGGAGATCTGATTACTTCAAACAGCCGAAACTTAGGTATAGGACGATGCCAAAGATGGTCATCATGATAATCGGCTATAATAGACCAATGTCATACGAAAAGCTAAATGGTGAGGCTACAGCGGACTATGTTTCGGCGATTCTTTGCATATATATATATATAAATATCTCATTTGAATAAGCATCATGGTAGTGGAAGCCGGCACTCACTCGGCAGACTTACAGTTGTCTTGAGCAAATCGACTGCCCTATTGTGTTGCATCCTTTGAGCTGTCTGCTTCGATGAACGACACTTCAAATCGCTGCGCTGTAATAGAGTCTTACCAGTAGTAGCGGTAGACTACGAAGCTCGCTCCTTCCTTTGTCGTCGGTTGGAGCTGCCATAGTCAAAGTGTTCGCACTGCTTGCCGTCGTCCTGCAGGTCTTCTTTCCGTGTCTTCACGGACCCCATCGCAGCAAGATCATCAACCATCAACGGATCAGCAAACCCAATCCACCTACCGTTTTGCTTCGTCACAGGTCCAATCAGCGAAATAACAGCTGATTGTTCACTTCGATTTACTTATGCAACACCAACCGCAATCTTCATTTATTATAGTGGCACTAATATAACTTATTGTTATGTTCCGCGTCACAACTACACCTGTCACTATCACTCTAATGGGAATGAACAAAAACGAGTGAATCAGGAAGTGGAACAATTATATACATATATATATATATATATGTAAGTATTGGTTATCATTACGGTCGCGATGTCTGTTCAACTAATTTCTCGAGAGGGGTTCTATAACCTTGGTCTTGTGTCTATTTCTATTTGCGTGTGTTCCTTTGAAGAAGCAAAGTATAAACGAGCGACCCAGACTTTTACTAATCACTTATTCATAGTGTCATCGGTATATCGCAATGAGTCTGAGCTCAAATCAGCCGGTGGGTTCCCAAAAGATAAATCTCATCTGAATTAGAGGTAAATCGCGTTTGATAATAAAAGCATCCACATAAAATTTATACTCTGATTAGAATAAAGATTTGAAACGCAACGAGGACAATAATACTAACGACTGAAGTATTTTTAGTTCAGCTATTGCAATCCTATTATCGTAGACAAACTTTATTTATCAAGGCCATATTGAGTATACGTCCATATTTCGTAAGGCATCCTAACCATCTCGCTCCCAGCACGAATCGAAATCTGTCAATGCCCGGATTCGAACCTAGAACATTCAATATGTCGACCGAATTAAACTCGGTAGATCATTGTAAGAAAAGCAAATTATGATATTTTGTTGTTTGACGCGGTAACTTTTTCATAGCCACATCTACCCCTAGTTGATACGATAATTAACCTAGCTTAGCGTTAATTTACCAATAAAACTGCAGAGCACATATATATGAATTTTTTAAGCTCTTTTTTCCTTTGTGATCATTCTTTTCTACATACACACACACACATATATACGTATATATGTAATGTTTAGCGAACAAACAATGTGTAAAACAATTACCACTGCTATAACTGCACAAGTTTACGGTGTGCAACAAAAGGAAGGCGAATATATACTGCCGGAACTTTAACATGTAACTCTTTGTAAGTAGAACTGAGCAGGCAGTCTGAAGAGTCTCCAACGTAACACATGTTTTTTTTTTTTGTCAAACGCCGTTCAATTTCCCAACAGTCTTTTTATAAACTTTTCCCAGCGACGAGAGCAAATAATAGTTTTTCGGCCTGCCAATATATATGCCTGCAAATTAAAATTTTAAACTCCGAAGGAACGTTAAACCTAGGAAACAGAAGAAGGCCGCCCAAGGCTGTATTTGATGAACACGGTAGATGGTAATTCGTAAAACTATAATTTTTTTTTTTATGGCAACCACGCTACACCCAACGTGCGGTTAGCTTTTTCATTTTCAAATTTTCAGTTAGCCTATTAGAAATACGTTATTTCAAACTTTTCATAGCTTTTTGCTGTTTGTCTACTATCTCGTTAACTTTTTCAGCGTTATCGGTAGTAATTGCAGTTTTTGGCCGTCCTTTACGCCCACTGTCCACCAAGCAAGCACGGCCACATGTTCAAATGCTTACGGTAGCAAGCAATAATGCGGAGTCCCTGTTAATAGTGTCCATCTCGGTTTTCTTTACGTAGACGTATTGCCTCTTAAACGCAAGGATCAGACGATACTCCAATATTAAATTTTTTTCTATCTTTACAAAAATACTGACAAATGAATAGTAAACAATAACTTTCAACACTGTTGAATGCACGCGCGTTCTGTCACAGAATCGTTTGGCCTGTAGCCCGATATTTATCATTATATTGAGTCTGGAAACTTTTCCATCTATGTAATGCTAGCATTGGCATGACGACTCCTAGAAAATATACCTTCAAAAAAATCAAATATTTTTCACATTATATATGAGAGATAATTGAATGTAGAGGGTTGCAGTATGATGGGCAATGCCATTAGCGGTTCGAGGTCGATTGGCTCGTGTGTTTCCTCTAGCTATGACTCGCACTCTTCGGCATCTATTGTAACAAATCCATAAAGCAACGATGAACGTATAAACACTGCGATGGCTCTCTTTTTCCCGCCATCTTCGGGAACAGCAGTGAATCACGCATTCGAACTCGGACCGGGTGCCCTCTAACTCTAATCTACGTAACGAGCAACATCTGATACATTGGCTGGCACTAGAAATAAAGTGTAACTTATCAATACCTCTCAGAATTGTTTCATTTATCGGCAGCAGACGCGGGTGTCGCAAACAGATAAGTTCACCACTACGTTCACATCTAGATTATCGAGCAGACAAGCCTGTGATGAAGGGGCTCGCGAATAGGTGGTATAGGGGATAGCTAGTTAGATTAGGACCACCCAGCCGCAGTCTATTATTATCATTCTTCCATTCTAATGCGTAGCACTTCTGGTAATCTCGAACGTGCAAATCATAGCCAAGATCTAATGCGACCGAGCCTAAATTGTCGATTCTAGTGAACAGGTTATTCAAAGGTGGAAAATCGTCAGTCGTCACCACTTAAAAATCATCCCTCGCCTATTGCGGTAACCAGCAGTTATGGCCGTAAGTATTCAATAGGCAAACACAACGCCGTAGCAGTCGATCAGAGGGGTACCGCATACCGCTGTCCACCTTAAAAATTGCTATTTTTTACGTAACCACTTTATTGCAACAGTTAATACACAGTGCAATCGTTGGCCAATTTGGCAGAGAAAGCGACTTATAGAACTGTCGTTATATTTCGCGCTAAACGTTACCTGCCTCGATTAGCTATAGCAGGTCGATTACATCTGTCAGTCACTAGAGTATTAGAAACCATATATCCCCAAGAACAACGGAGATAGGCGATCAATGTGCGCTAAGCTGTACAAAGTACTGATTGGGGATTACAAATACCCGCGTCCGTCGGTAGCGAAACGATACAAAATACAATCCTATAAACAAAGTCAAATAGCTAACATTTACAATAGTATAGCTGCAAATCTAGCAGCTGAGGTAACTGGACGTCAGTTGACAAGCACGATTACGACGTTACAATCTACTGAGTGTCTATTGACCAGCTGATTGGATCGATGAGCAGCTTACCAGTGTCGAACGTCATTGCAGAATGAGAGCAGATTGCCGTCGGAGGTATATACGTTGATACGATGAACTACGTGTAGTCGGCCCTCAATGCCGACACAACAAAACATAAGAGGTGCGGAAACGGTCGGACCAAAAATGACGATGTTTTCACAGCGGTGACGCCGTTTGGCAACTGCCGTTTTGTTCTATATTGTGGTGCCGCGCGTGGCCGCTTATTGAACGGGCAGTGGCGACTACGACATTAACCAAACATGTTAAGTAGCTGCAGCAACGACGGGCGCTTAGCTGCCGACAGATGAGCGGCTGAAGTGCTACATAGAGGCATTATGAATATCAACACGATCGGTGAGAAGTTTGCCGGCAACAATATATTTAGTGTCATCGAGGTGGATGGATCTTGTCAATGTGACCTTCACATTGTCTATGAAGAGACATGAGATCTCTTGTGATTCGACTTACAACGGAATCCACCCGTCGGTCGATCGATCGATCGATCAAGGTCGGTCTATCTGTCTGTTGGCGGTGATGAATGATCCAGCGGCCGATTATTAGAATCGCTACTCGCTATATGAGAATTTATTGCTTTAAGCTTTTTTTACGCATCTCACTGCCAATGGAAACAGAGTATATATGGTCGGGAACATGGGTCTAACTTGCCTCAATTAATATTACTTGGTACCCAAGTAGTAAGGTGAAAATAGATTTGTTATAGGCCACCATCTCTGTTTCTATTTTGCCGATTTATTCAGAACAAAGGGCATATAATCTAAATATTTTTCGAAAGAATCTGCCTGATGTCTTTTATTGTTTGAGTCATTGACTGGCTGGTAGCAGGGGAGTTCCTCAAGGATTATCACGGGCTATCGCTGTTCAAATTCGAAGCATTCTTAGCCGAAAGCTGCTGGCTAAAGCTGAAACTTTATTTCTGGCTTCATGATATGAAATGGTCACTAAATAGTTGGTAAACGCACAATTCAATCCAATAAGAATGACCGAAAGTCGTATATCTAATTAGTAGTTGGAATAATTCCGAAACTTCAACAAAAAATAGCTTCCCTAACAGTGTTAAAGTTTAACCCTCCTTTGACCATTGTGTCATTGTCTGTCTGCTTATCTAGCCTTTTCTAGTTTCGTTTGAACCGAAAGGCCGCCACATATAGCCACAATGTATACGTCGTTTCCAGCTGCTAGCAGCGAATAAGCTGAAAAGTAACGTCCCTAGCTTTCGATGGATATCTAGAACGCGAAGGAACACGAACTACTGCCGTCGGCGACATAATAGTTTTATCAAAACGTGGTGTAGTCACGTATATAGTACACGTTAACAAACTTGTTGGTGCCTTCGCTATTGTTATCGATCGGATCTTCTATGGGTTCCTGTTATACGGCAAACGTGCCTCTTCATAAAATCCTGTTGACGCTTTTTCCCGAACGTTGACTAAATGTATTCTGTTAATGACAGTTACCGCGCGAACATAAACAGTCACAACAGCACGAACAAAAACAACACCGTCGCCAGCGGGCAAAAAATCTTTTGACCCACTCTCCTACTTTACCTAAATATGTGCATTATTCTGTTGGCCATAACAGGACACGCGTTTTAATGCCGCATGCCCTGACACATTGCTACAGCCAATCACCCCGTGAAAAATAGTTAGGATGAGTTGTTCGCTACATCATCATCGCCGTCATCATCGCCGTTGTCCTCGTCATCCGTACTGTTGTCAGAGTTATTATGGAACTCCGGCTTCGACTGGTGTTGCTGCTACCGCCGCTGCTGCCCTTGCCGGCATTGTGGACGACGACGCCCACAACGGCAATAGCGGCCGCCTCTGTCGACGTTAGGCCTAGCCGCAAACGCTACCGTCGTCAGTGAGATGAGGTATTGGAATGTTTATCGCTTGCGGTCCACATATATAGTGGGTCGCGGTACCGTCGACACCGCCAGCGGCGCAAGCTCCACCTGTTTACAAATCGTCTAAGATGGCTTTAGCTCGTCTGGTACTTTCGGAGCAGCTTAGCTCAGCACTACAAATTAAATAGTTCATAGAGCCGAACGACATCAAAAAGCTTTACTATTTCAGTCCGCGGCTGGTAGCTGGCCGGCTTCCTACTGCTATGAAGGAAACTATCGTGGGATGTGTGAATGACAAGACAAAACGCGAAAAGCCAATCGCAATAGAAACCGCGACAGTTGATAAATAGACACTCATTTATACATGCTATACATCGATATACACAGCCAACGAAACATGTATACGTGTAAACATAGCTCGTTTCTCATACTACAGTCGCAGTCTGAATGTCGACTTCCCGAAAAGTTGCCCCGGATGGCATGACATGTTGGAGCCCTTTCTCTGGGAAGGTATAATTGAAGGGACTGCTGGAAAAAACATCGACCGATAGTAATTCTTAGTTGTTATCAGCATCGTGGATTTTTTGGGAAAATAGATAGCGTTTAGTGCGACAAAAATATCATAGACACAGCACCACCGAACGGACTTGTACTTTAAGCGCTAAGTGAAACGCAGTACTCACTCTTCTTCAAAAGGTCTGTACCTAAGCAGGTAGCCCATTTCCCTTTGATCAAAGCTTACCGACATTTTTCAAAGGGAAATTCTTAAAGTAAATTCGTCCATATACCAATGTAGATAGCTACCTCTTTAGGTGCATCGAGCTCCCTCGCGCTAGGTGAATGTTATTTCAATTAAACTAGATAAACAATGAGAACGACATGCTTTTCATCTTGCTATTCTGAAACTATATAAGTACTGTTCATAATACTGCATGCTCACTGCACCACTTTTACTGTTTTATATGCTAAACACTTTAGGTTCAAAAACAAAAGGTCAATAACGTCCTGATTTGGATTCAGTCCCCCAACGTTAAAAGTACGCTGTCGTTCAAACAATAGTCATAATATTAGACATGGCGACCAAAGTCTATTTTGCATAGCACTTACGTGTAAAGTTATTATAATAAGATGTGCAATATTTGTCAGCAAGTTCCGACAAATCATCACCTTCAAGTGACACTTATCAACAATAATTGAATTATTACTGTAATTTAAATAATACGTTCACATTAGCACACGTTATAATTTCCTAGCCTGAACTGCAACCATCCGTCCATGGTGTCGGACAATAGGAAATATGGTCAAGGCTTAAATCAAACTATAATGGTACATACAAGCGCTACGAAGTAGACAACGATTCCTTCATTAAGTGCCCTCTTATCGAAGTGCGAAGGATATTTAACTTCAGTTCGCATGTATTTTTTTTGTCGAAAGTGGGTTGGAGCATATTTCAATTTCTAATATATGTCTTCATCGAACAACTCTGGCCTTCTTTTCAGTACAACACATATATACGTATGTATGTATGTATACTCGTCTGCTGCATAATTATTATGACAGCAGTCGTTCGTTATAATCGGCATCCACAGTTAGGTAATCGTTGCGACGTTTCTGTTTTCTCAACTCTATAGCTATTTCTGATGCAACTGATGACGACTCTGCCGACTTGCAATAATTAGGGTACATGGATATGCACCACCACTACCCTCATTTCGGAACGACTGTTTGGCGTTTCTTGAGTCTACGATGGATCATCCGCATCATAGAGTCATTTGCGGGCGTTCTGTTGTACGGTTTGAGCCAAGCTGTCCCTAAAGGTTGTTCGCCTCTAGTCTTTGCCCCGTCTGTTTATGGCCTTGGATTGCTGAATGGCCGAAACTTGCCCAACAATAATACTTTTTCCGTTCGAGCACGCGAATGAATGACGTCGCTCTCTATAAAGAGCTCTCTCGATACACACATGTCGATTAAAAAAAATCTTTTTCAAGCTACATCGGGTCTGATCTGTCGGTCGTAATCTCAATGTTCTGTTCCCTCAGACTTCCCTCAGCCGTGTGATTCAGATGTCAAACAGGAACAGCGTATTCAAGTATAGATCGAATCTGTTAAATTTCTGTCGGATTTCAGCAGTCTGGCTTGTTCTTGTGACCTCGAGTGGGCAGTACTGCATGTTGTTAGAGCTCAATAGTGGCAGCTCATTGAGCGTCAGGTTTGCCGCTATTTGCTTGAGCTTTTTTTCGCTGTTAGGCCCAGTCTTTTGAAAATTTTGCGTTCGATACGGACCCTCAGGTTGGGCCACGGCTGGCGTGACAATGACAACTGTGCCTGTCATTGTCAAAACAAGGGTGCTTATTTGCCATCCGATTATCACTTTGTTATCAGTAAGATATGATTGAGCGGGTCTTTCTTGTTTCGTACTGCAATCAACTGTACTGTATGGCTAATTTTCCTTTGTCTAATACCTCTTGTTTGATTACTAATTAACGCATTGATTTCTATGCATTTAAAGCATATTATTAGCTGTTTATATTTGCCGATAAGAGAGCGTATGACGAGTGGTTGTTTACGACTACCTTATTGGTCGAGTTACCGACGCTTAGCTTGATTAACGTGAACGTTGATTGTCTGCCAGAGATTCAATGGTACTAGTAGTATGAGCGCTACGGTTCCTCTGACTGATTGTAAAAGTACGTAATATTCTATAATAGAAGTACGTGCGTCTAAGTGCCAGACTTTATTACAATATTTCAGCTTGTGTAAGTTAAGGTCTTCCTTTTGTTAGTTCTCGCCGTTGATCTGTGATCGCGTTTCAGCAAACTGAGCTTAAGCGCAAGCAAGTAAATTATTAGTAGCAGTTATCTATTAGCACAATTACTATTATAAGTTTTGTTCAAAATTCCAATTGTTTTCCACGTGTCATAAAAGCTACGAAACCTCGATTCTCCTGAATTTCGTAAATTATTGTCACTTGTATATACACCCGTGTTCTTGTCAGTCTCCGCTGGGGCTGCTTATGTGAAGCATGTCATTCAGCAGCACTTTCTTTGTTTTATTTGTTGCCTTTCATTTTCGCTTGTTTCCTCCTTGTAGAATAGATTGGCTGTAACTACCGACAGGACGTAACAGTTCCGCTTGGGAATTTCACCGCCTGCGAGGAAAGGCCATCGTCTGGTGGCCGTTGGAGGCACCGCTAGCTTTCTCCTCTCGCTTCATTTTCCCTTTCCCATTTTCTCTTTCTCTAAGCGGTTTTAAGCCTCGAGTAATAAACAGTGCCCGATAACGACCGACAAATTAGACTGGTCGAGACGTATGCGATCTATCTACGACTGCGGCACAATGATTTGCCGACTATAGTGCCCGCTCTCGGGTGCGTTCCGCTGTGCTTCTATTAGGGGTCCTTCTGACAGGAAGGACTAATGTATCGGAGCCGCCGTAAAAGCAAGCAAACGTGCCCGACCCTCTTGGTCTTGGTGTTCTGTTCAATCGTGGGAGATATCTTGCGTGGTTGACTCAATAAGGGCACTAAGCTTACAGCGCTATGACAGGCATTGTGTCACGCCTTTTATATGATGTCTCAAGAATCAAAGTGTTTCTTGAGAAATGTAGTGATGTGTGGTCATAAACACTCATCGCGTTTAGCGGACATTAATGTCGAAAATCTGAACAAATCATTGTCGGAATCTTTACCCTAAGTAGAAGTTCGGTTAGCCGGCCGATCATATCGTTGGTCAACTGAAAGAAATAGCGTGAACTCTAAACATGAGCAATCGTCCGTCGTGTTAATAATCGCCTTGGGTTCTTGGAAAAGCAGCTCGATTAATGAAACTAAAATAACGTGCGACAAGGGCTATGGCGGTCTTTACTACCGAAGACTAATCACTTGCTCAACCCTGCTACGATAGAGGAGTACGTGGTTTACTAAACGCAGTATAGAAGTAAACCGCAGATCCATCAATGTACACAGATATAATGAAAAAAAACCCTTCATTGGCCAGATCTAATTTAAATCAAATCGATATGTAAAACGATTTAGGCCATTGTTAGTTGATAATTCTTGAATTTCTAAAACTATGGACGGCAACCTTAATGTCTGCAGTTACGCCACCGAAAGATACGTCCAAGATAAACAACAATTTGTCTTCTTCATCGATTTGCCATAGGGTTTGTCCCATGTAGATGAACGTGCAACTTTGAAGATTTCATATACGAACAACTTGTAAATAACTTACATGTGAAAAAATGTCTTCGTCGACGATAAAAGCAGAACCGTATCAATAAACTTGCAATCTCTGAGACAGTTCCAAGAGAATTTGCTATAGTAAATATCGAAATCAGAGGATTCTCCTCTTCCTACTCTCCACCGGCAGACAATAGGTTTGCTAAATCTAATCAGCCCAAATGAATGATTTGAGCCCGCATGGGTGTCACGGAAGTCGGCGTAATGTACATTAGAAATCGTTTTCCTGAATTTCCCCCGACTCAGCGAGTTGCGCACAGGCAGCTCCGCAATCTATGGCTGTTCTATGAAACGACAGTGCTGGTTCTCGTTACTAAGTTATGCTAGTAATTACACTTACGACGAAAGGGCCCAGTATCGTACGCTACGATATTTCCGCTGATTTTCGCTAAGTCGTTTCAGCTGCGTATGTCAAGAGTCCGATCACATTAGCCTTGTTAGTTACAAACACAACTTAAAGTTTGTGTCTGACAGATTAGCTAGACACACCGTTAGGAGTATTTCAGAACATAGCTGACATACTGAAACAGTTGCCAATATCGCGTCAGATTTTTACGCGTTGCGATATTAGAGCCTATATCTAATGGCTGAACAGGACACAGATACGCTACATCCTACATAAATCATGTACGAGTTTATCAATTGCCACGTCGTAGACAACAAACCGTGGTTATTTTCACAATTAGCTCGTCTCAGTTATTAAGTTAAGTTATTAAGAGTAACGGTTAGTCGTTGCCGAAAATCCGTTTTTCCACAATACGCAAATACGTTTTCCTCTACCGAATCTAGAATGCCCAT